GTGTGCTCGTTCTCTCAGAGCCTGTTAAACAACAAGAGGTATCACCCGCCTCCATCCTGAATCAGAAGGCCATCAGTAAAACTCAGTTTCAGAAGCACTGTCTAGAGTAACTGAGGACTAGTCAGTAAAGCCAGAATGACAAAGCCCCAGTGGGAAGGTTTAGGGTAGAGGTCTATGATAAGCCCCATTTCTGTCTTGACAGATTCCACTTTCTAAGGAATAGTAGTACCTCTTCAATCATTATCCCAAGTCAGCAGTGGTGACCTTCCAATGCAATTTCCAATGCACTGAAAGTACTGTGGAGATTCAGGGTGATCCCTACCCTAAGAACAACAAAAAAATTTGTATGGCACATAATAGTTCACAAAGCACTTCTGTGTATATGCTATCTCATTTAATCACCCTAAGACTCTGCAAAGAAGGCGGCACAGATATGGTCAGCTTCATTTTGTAAATGAAGAAAGCAAAATTTGGAGGTTAAATGACAAATGGTTACACAGCTAGCAAGTGGCATGGGTGGGACTAGAACTCATTTCTTCAGATTCTGAGGCCAATGCTTTTCTCACTAACTCACTGCTAAAGATACGACAGTGCGTCAATTTCCTTAATGGAATAAGGGCCTGTCAAATGTCTCATCTTTGAACCCACAGGCTTTGCTATGTGTCCTAGTGTGACTTGAGCAAAAGAGTAAAAATTACCCCGATCCAGTACACGAATATTACAGGGTCCAGTAGAACATAATTTCTTCAGACAAATAGTTTTATTTATTTATTAAAGATTTTATTTATTTATTTGACAGAGAGAGACACAGCGAGAGAGGGAACACAAGCAGGGGGAGTGGGAGAGGGAGAAGCAGGCTTCCCCGCGGAGCAGGGAGCCTGATGTGAGGCTCGATCCCAGGACCCTGGGATCATGACCTGAGCCGAAGGCAGACGCTTAACGACTGAGCCACCCAAGCGCCCCTGGACAAATAATTTTAAATATTATAATCCCATTCTACCACAAGTAGGCTAAAGGAGTGATCACTCCAGATGCTCTACTGTCTCAAAGACCACAGATTAGGACTCATAGCCTGTCTTCCTCCAAGACCAATGAGGCCAATTTTCTCTCTCACCTGTCAACCCACCTGGCCTTCCTTGTCATCCTTTACCACCCAAATTCTCATCTCTAAAATGCTGTTTATTCTCGATCTGACCCAATCTCCCATGCTTCCTCTCCTCAAATCCTTCCACTGTCCAGGAACTTCCTATTTGTGTTCAGGAAGCTGCTCACATACCTACCTAGCTCTTCTGAGTGAAAATTCCCTCAGCTCTTTGTCCTTTTGGCTGATCCCTTAGGACGCTGCTTTTCCTCGATTTCTCTCTCAGTTTATTACCACTATTCCATTTACTTCAGGGTGAGGGGGTAACTAAAGTTATTTTCCTGGCTCTTCACTGCCATTTCCAGACCATTATCTCTCTTCCCTCTTACGAAGTCTGAGGCTCACACCATCTTGCAAGAGCCCCGTCCTCTTCCTCTTTATTGCCATCTCTTGATCAACTGGTCTAATCTTCATTCCTTAATCTTCACCACTCTCCAAGGTTTTGACATCCACACGGATTCAATCAAAACCTCAATTCTCCTTTTTACTCCATTTAACTCACCATTTGCATTATTATACCTTGATTCTTGTCATCATTAGAAACAGAACTATCACTGATTAAATATCCTGTTCTTTAAACAGAAGTTCTTATCCTTGGGGCTCTTCTTGTACCTGGTACACCCAATGACCGCGTCACTTTTTCCTTTTTCATTGGCACCCTTTCCTCTCCTCACACCCCTTCATGTCCAGTCCACATTTCAGAGTTCATCTTTACTTTAATTATTGTGTCAAGATCTGCAGATCTGCAACTCCCTGTCCCTCTCTCATTGTCATGTCTAAAACCTCAAACCTGTATGAACCTATGAACCTACTTCGCCCTTCTTTGTGCTTTTATCTAAAAAGCTGAACTTTGGTGGGGAAAAATCATACAATTAGGCATGCTGCTTTCAATTTATATTCATGACCTCCGACTTCACACAGGCATTCAACATTGCTCAGCACACCTACTGTTTTCCTCTACTAAGCATACACCCCCTACCCCCACTGAGATTTCTATTTCACGCCTACTTCTCTCTCCTGAAACAGAACTACCTAATCTTCCCTAATTTGGGAGTTCCCAAAACTCCCTAATCTTGCATACATTCTTCTCACTACCAGCTAATAATCTTACCTCATTAAACCACCAGACTGGAACTCCCTCATCTTCCCATCTCAAAAATCAATAAAACTTCCTGCATCTGCACCCAGCTTCTAGTCTGGTTGGACTTACTCCATGTCCTCAACTACCCAGGAATATTCCTTGTAATGGTCCAACTTGCTTCTGATTTTAAGTCTTGAAGCTGTCAGCTTCCTACTCTCTACAAGCAAATTTAGCTGCATTCACACTCATCTTTTCCCCATATGTTACACTCAAAGTCTTTTTATCTAATCCTTAAATCCATGCTCTGGATTATATCTCAATCTGGTTCCCTCGGACTCTATCAATTACCACCACCTTATATATTCAACCTCAAGCTCTCACTTCCTTCCTCCCTCTCCCTTCTGTCTCCTTCAAGTTTGTGTGTGTGTGTGTGTGTGTTTTAAAGATTTTATTTATTTATTTGAGAGAGAGAGTGCAAGAAAGCACAAGCAGGGGGAGCAGGAGAGGGAGAAGCAGGCTCCCCGCTAAGCAGGGAGCCCAGCTCGGGGCTCCACCCCAGGACCCTCGGATCATGACCTGAGCCGAAGGCAGACGCTTAACTGTCTGAGCCACCCAGACACCCCCTTTTTTTTTTTGCATTTAAAAAATAGCCTTTACTTAAGAGAAAAAAATACATGGAGTTACAAGTGTTCCTAGAATGTGGGATACAAGGTTCTCTGCTGTTTTCTAATTCCTGTCTACTTTTTTTTTCATAAACTCTATATATCAACCCTAAAATGCTGCTTATTTTTTGAGAACATTCAAAACCATTCATTCACTCCACAAGTATTTATTGCCACCCACTAACATTCCACGTACTCCTACAGGTGCTGGGAATTCAGCAACGAGATATTCGACTTGGCCAGGCAATCACCATTCAGACAGACACGGTCAGTTACCTCACCAGCTCTATTCTCTCCATTTCCATTCCTCTGTCCTAACTGAAATTCTCTTCCCCACATAAGCATATGCCTCACAGAAAGCTGATACCACTTCCAAGGGTGGTCCTGATTATTTTCTCCCCAGCTTTCTTGAGATAAAATTGACAAATAAAAATTGTGTATGTTTAAGGTATACAACTTGATGTTTTGATATTAGTACACAATGGGAAATGATCACCATAACTGCATCAATTAACGTATCTACCTCACATAGTTAGTTTTCTCTGTCTTAGCAAATCTCAAGCATACAACACCATATCGCTAACTAGAGTCACCAGGCTGTACATCACATCCCAGAACTTATCCATCTTGTATAACTGAAACTTTGTATCCTTTGTCTTTCAAGTCTTTCTTAAACCAAAAAAAAAAAAAAAAAACAACCTGTTTTCCTTTGACCTCACGCTTTCTTTGCACTCTCCTCCTGGAGCTGTTTGTTCACACTCACTCAGCCCTTCCTTAACTCCCATTCATTCCTGATCTGCTGCAGTTCAGCTTCTGCTCACTTAACTAAAATGGCACTTTCAGAACGGTCTTCCAAGGTCTCACTGACAATTCCATGGGTATTTTTCAGCACTGTGTTAACTGACTGCTTGCAGTGCTTTGCAGTGATAACTATAGGAGGCCTCTTTTCTTGCTTTCTGTGACAGCACGGTCTCCCGACCACTCTCATCCCCTTAGTTTTAATCCTAAATTGCCTCTGATGAAAGTATCAACAAGCAGTGAAAGGCTGGAAGGCAGGAAGCAGAAGGAAGAAAGTAAAACAAGAGACAAGAATAACCTGCTGGCCTGTGGAGAATCAAATGCTAACTTAAATAATCAGACTTTGTGAGTGAGTACAGCCCCAAAATCATCAAACCTCATTCTGTAGATAAAGAAATGTAGGGTCAAATTTCTGTGCAACCTACAGCACAAGTTCTAAGACCAGATAATCCGGCCATTCATGCTACAACCATAAAGGAGAGGCTGACACCATCTTTCCAACTTGTGCTACCTTTGCTTAAATAACAAATGAGTTCTACTTATCATGTTCTTGTCTTGACTGTGGATGAAGACATATACTTATGTATACATGCAACTGCCCTACTGCTGTAGAACGCACAGTCAAAATCTAGGGTCAGCAAGAGCTAAATACAAAGCACCTTTCTTTAAACTATATTAAAACAGAAATTCATTGAGTATTGGAAATACTCTGTGTGCTACAAATGACAAAGTGAGCTACTTATTTATGCATATGATTTAAACATTTTTTATTTAAAGTGCAAGCATGTCTAAACATGAGGCCTGGTAACGAGACGTAAGTAAAGCTGCCCCTGCATTACTGGCTCTCTAAGATTTTTCCTTATAGCACTATTAGGAAGCAGCCTGGTATATACATGACATAACCTTGCCCTACATTCCAGAAGGAGTAAGTTTTATTTTAAACAATAATTTTCAGTGATATGGGTAAATGATTTAATCTCACATTCCCTTAGCTTTCTTTTAAACTGAATCAGTAATCATCCCAGCAGTTAACCCAACGCACAGGGATGTTATAAGGGAAATAGGTAGTTATTTCTAAATGTCTTGAGTTCCTCATGAGACAGGTTACTCCGGGCAACCCTACGAATTTCTGGCATTAGACTCAAACAGGCAGTTAGACAGCAGAAGGCTATTCAAGCAAACAGAAAGAAAAAAGGTCCACATTGTGTATGTTGTTTCAAACAAAGATACTCTGATAAATGCAAAGAATAGTCTAGTTTTTAAGAAAAGAAAACAGTAAAGTAACTCAAAGAAAAGGAGCTAGATATTAGAAAATAACCTTAAGTAAGAGGAAGAGGTTGTTGAGACAGCTTAGCAGAGACAAAAGGCACTGCAGAACAGAGTCATCCATATTCCCACACTGTAAGATAAGGCAGATAAAAAGCCAATTAAACTATGTACAGATTTTTAAAAAATTATGTAGGGAAGATAACTTGGCTGGCTTATCTGTCCATCAAAGACAAATTATTTGGTTTTAACATTTTTTCTACAGGCTATATGCTTGTGTAAAATGTATTATTAACATTATTCACCTAAAATTTCCCCTCAGTAACTGAAGCCACCATGGTCCCTTTTCTTTAAAATGTTCACTCTATAGTTGGTGTGTTATTATTCTTAGCAAAAGTCACATGAAGAGATAGATAGCTGTGACTATTCCCAGATTGGAATGATGTGCCATCAGTCTGGTTTTTACCTTTTAACACTTCTTTCATGGGTATGGCTTCAGTATACAACTACTACTGCACAAAATGATAAGTATACAGTAGATGTTTTGAGCATTTGCTCTGCCACTGCAGCAAATAATGAATCATGAACTTACTTTTCATGCAAAGTTCAGAGTGCCAGATTATGCTTTGGATTTCACTGATTATTGCATTACTTCACAAAGGTTAATTACATTATAACAAAGAAACAAACAAAAGAATTTAGTATGTTATAAAAGCCTCTACCATTAGCACTATTTTAAATAATCTTCCATATCTACCATCTTAGAATTTTGCCTACGGTCATGTTGGCTGAGATCAATTTTCTATACTGACAAAGGCACTTATTCTTAAAATGTACAGATGCCAATAAAAAGTCAAGAACTGGAAACCATGGTAAATGACTGGTTTTGTTACATAACAATGTTTATAATATCTATAGAGAATATTAAAAGCGATCTTGTAATCCTGGTATAGCTCAATTATAAGATAAATTATGCAAATATACTACATACAACAGTAAGAGCTTTAGTTACTCAATCCACAAAATCAAAACGAGGAAGAAGGCAGCTAACTAAAAATGAATATAACAGAAGATAAATACCTTTAGTTGATTGTTAAATGAATCCATTTCGGAGAGCTTAGATGCAGTTTCTTTTTCAAGAGCATCTAATTGTTCTTTAAGTCTTTGGCATAATTCTTCCTTTTCCAGTGATTTTTTATGAAGCAAACCAATCCCTAAATCTGAAATACAAACATCAGATAGTTTACAGTTGGTAGAAATTCTTCTGTCACTACTGGTAATTGACTTTTACTGTCACAATATATCTAAGTCAAACTTAAACTTACACAGTAATGTATGCCAACTACATTTCAGTAACACTGGAAAAAAAAGACATAGAAACTCTAAAATTGCTCCAATGGTAGTCTACATGATGGCTATTTCATAATTTACATAACTATACCCTTTTGGATTGCTATTAGGTTGTTTCTAATTTTCTACTATTTATATAAAAATGCTGCAATTAATATCCTCATACATGTATTATAAGCACATGTGAAAGTATTTTACGTGGCTAGGAGGTCAAAGAACTGCCATGTAAAAGGATATGAACACTTTAAATTTTGACAGAAACTGCCAACTGTCATTCCAAAAAGGTAAACTAATATCAAATGACACCAAAGTACCTGTTTCTGCATATCCTTATCAACACTGGATATTATCAACCTTTTTTCAGTTTCTCTAATTGGCAAAAAATGAAAGCTTATTATTTTAATTTGTATTTCCTTGATAACAACTGAAATCAAATCAACCTATTCATAGGCTAATTTGCCCCCCTCCTGGATTGCCTCACCCCATCCACTGCCTTTTTTCTTCCTGTTGGGTTGTCTTCATTTATGATTTGCAGCAGCTCTAAATTCTTGTTGTACTGTATGTATTTCCAATACTGTACTGTTTATGATGTCTTGCTCATGAAAAAGTTCATTTTTATATCATCAAATCTGTAAATATTTTCCTTCATAGCTCTAGGGATTATTTGAAGAAATGTTCCTGACACTGAGATTATAAAAATGTTTTCCTTTGTTTTTATAACATTTTTTTTAGAGGCATTTTTTATGTTTATCCTCTTAGTTTACCTAGATTTTATTTCTGTTCCCCACCTCCCTTTCAGAGAGCCAACTGTCCCCCAGATCACTTATTGAAGTGACAGTGATTACTGAAAGCCCATCCTTTCCCCACTGGTGTTAAATGCCAACTTTATCATATCCTAAATTGTCATATATATACAGGCCTGTTTCTAGACCCTCTATTCAATTCTTTCTGATCAATAATATACTACTTTAGGGACCAGAGCTTTCCTAACTTTTTTTAAAAATTTTTAAAAATTTAAATTCTATTAATTAACATATAATGTATTATTGGTTTCAGGGGTCCTAACATGTTTTGATACCTGGCAGAGCTAGTGTCTTCCCCCGACCAATGTTATTCTTTTTCAAGTCTTGCCTAATCTTGCATGTTTTCTCTTCTGGGTGAATCTGTGAATTATCTTGCCAGCTTTCATTTAAAGAAACCTGAATGGAACTGAATGTATGGGACGAAGTAGTAGAGAATGACATCTTTACAACACTGAGCTAGATCATTCAGGAACATAACATATACCTACTTATCCAGGAATCTTTAATATCTATCAGTAAAATTTTATAGCTACACATTTCTTTATACATAATTTCTTTATACATAATAATGAGAATGCTAAGGTAAATGAGACCTTTGTTCATGATATTTTCTAATTAAGTACTTTTGATATATAGTAAAAGTTACTGATTTTTACATGCTCACTTTTTATCCACACATCTTGCTAAATTTTCTCATAATTCTCTAGTGGTTTTCCAGTATTTCAACAAATATTTTCTCAAGAAATTACACGTCTGCTATGTGCAAGGCACTGTACTATGTTCAATAGCAGGGGAAAAAGAAGGACAAGGCATGAGTCCTAGCCTCCAGTAGTTCAGAGTCTAGTTCAGTTGGGAGACAAGCAATGTGGAAAAAATCCGTTAATTTACGTTCAAAATGAGCATCACAAATAATGGGTGTTTCAATACTGAATTTGAATAGATCATATCTATGAACACCATGTTAGGTAACTGAAAATTAAGAGAGGCAATGTGGTGGCACGGTGGGCTTTGGACGCATGAGAATTTGAGAATGACTATTGCACCACCTTGGGCAACTACTTAATCTCTCTGAGCCTCAGTTTTGCTGAGCTGCAAAATGGGAATAACAATACCTACTTCACCGGGCTGTTGTAAAGATTAAAGGACACAGTGCATGAAAACTACCTAGCATGGTGCCTGGGACATGGTTGGTAATCTTCAGTGGCAACAGAGATGCAGAGAGGAATCTAAGGGATACAGGGTACTTTGCAAACTGCAAACAAAAGCTTCCTATTTTGAACCAATAACTGTAATAACAGGTGACCTGGATCACATTCTATAAGAAAGACTAGCTCTACCAGGTCCCCAATATTCTACATTCCATTCACAATCCAAATACTAAAACAACGAGAGTGATGCTATGCTTTCTGCGACTGCACAGGTCAGGAAGGCTGGCTCATCCTGCCTCTGGAACACCTGGGGAGGGATGAGGTGGGGGCTGATACACTTTGAACAGCCAAGAAAACAATTCTGCGCAAGGAAGACGGTCTGAGAAGAGACATGGACAGACCGTTTCAGTGGAAGGTTAGGGACACAGCAGGAACAGTTCACAAAAGTAAAATTCTCTATTCCTGGTGTTTCTTCCACATACAGGGCCCTTCACTAGGACACCATTCTCAGCTTCTTTCCACCCCTTCAGTAATTGGTGAGCTCAGGACAAGGACTTGGGCATACACAGCCTAGACCCTTCCAATCCCTTGTGTTCTTGAGACTGAACTGCCCACAGGAAACCTGTTCTACTTTGTCGTACACCTGGTTGTTACAAGAGTGGCTGTCCCACTCACAGGTAAGCCAGGCTGTCCAATATCGACTTTACCAAAAATGAGGCAATATTTTGGTCTCTCATATGTCTTGCTCCTTTGCCTTATTTCTCTATTTGTTCAGAACTTGGGCAAAGATGAGGGATGTTGTTTACTGGACTTCCTAAAAAGCCAGAAGTATAATAAAGAGCCCTGGAATGGGAAGACTGACAGATACTCAAAGAGAGACATATAGGATACTTCAGTTAGTTCTAACACAGTATTTGCAGATTTACTTTTCTTTAAGTAAACCTTTCTTCTGTTATGTTGTTAATGGCATGCTATCCAACATAGAGATTTTTTTCAGTATCCTGGTTGGGCTTGGATCAAGAAAAATGTTACAGGGCGCCTGGGTGGCTCAGTTGTTAAGCATCTGCCTTCGGCTCAGGTCATGATCCCAGGGTCCTGGGATGGAGTCCCACATCGGGCTCCCTGCTCGGCAGGAAGCCTGCTTCTCCCTCTCCCACTCCCCTGCTTGTGTTCCTGCTCTGTCTCTCTCTCTCTCTCTGTCAAATAAATAAATAAAATCTTTAAAAAAAAAAAAAAAGAAAAATGTTACAACCCACAAATTACCTTGGACTATTTTGTTCCAAAGGTGTCAGAGGGCCAAGCAGGTAAAAGTCTTTATATGAATCAATTAGGCGATATGAAAGGTCTGGGAAGGGCATTCCATTCTGCTTAGGCCTAACACTGCTGTACATTATCACCCAGAATCTCACAGGCTTGGTCCCATGGTAAAATCTCCTGAACAGTTCTTTACCATTAGTGTAGGATTTGCCAAAATGCACATAACATCTGTGATTTTTTCACATTATTCTGAAATTTTAACTACAGACAAGAAAGGCTATGTATAACAGAATTATGCTATTTTTTTTTTTTAAGATTTTATTTATTTATTTGAGAGAGAATGAGAGATAGCACGAGAGGGAAGAGGGTCAGAGGGAGAAGCAGACTCCCTGCCAAGCAGGGAGCCCGATGTGGGACTCGATCCCGGGACTCCAGGATCATGACCCGAGCCGAAGGCAGTTGCTTAACCAACTGAGCCACCCAGGCGCCCCAGAATAATGCTATTTTAACAAGTAATAGAGTATGACTGGTACAGTCATTCGGAGAAGAATAAAACAGGTAAAACAAACATTAGAGACTTACCAGGTGTGTTACCGAGTTGCATGTTCTTAATTCTTTCATTTAATAATTGCTTCTCAGGTACCAAATAGATAAGCTTATTTTGATAATCCTTATTAAAAAAAAAGTTAAAAAAAATTAAAATTCTGTCATGTTGTTTGAGAATTTTTTGAAAACTTAAATACATGATTTAATCATTCTTAAAACTTAGTATAGGAATAATATGTAGCTGTAAACTGCTTATAATTTATGAATAAATTAGGATGGAATTATGTGTGATTTAAAATACAAATATTTAAACATAAATCCATTTATGAATGACTGGCTGGAGAAGAGGCGGTGAAAAAAGTCCTTATTAATGGGGTGTGTCTAGAAGTCTTACAGTTTTCAGTGTACTGATGGATGTCCACAGGCACAAGGTGAGAGGTGCCTTTGCTATCTGCAATAAATGGTATTTGTAAGCAGGTCATGACACCCCAGAATAAATATCAAAGAGAAACTAAAGCCTCAGGAATAACTAGGGAAGCACGTTTAAATCAGACAGGAAATGTTATTTGGCGTCTGTCTGTACCAGCTGTGACACAGTAAGAAGACTCTGTTAATTAATTGCTAGTCTATACAGAAACAGAAATTTAGTAAGAGGACTCCAAAGATGCAGAATGCTTCCAGAGTTCTGATTCTGCAAACCACGATAACTGAGCTAGACCCTACTGCAGAGGTAAAGAAGATTACTAAGTCCCCGAGGGACACACACATTCAACACTCTCACCACAACTGTGAAAGAATAACGTTAAGTCAAAATTTCCTAATAGTAGCAGCAATAAATTTAGTTTAACGTATAGGTATATCTATACATTTATTAAAGACTTAAAAGTCGAAGTGATAAACATCCATTTACGTACAAATATTAAGCAGAGTTTAACCAGATGTCTAGTAGAGCTTTAGGGGGCATCTGAGCTTCCTGATATTTATACAAGATGGTGTATATTTACCTCCTTCTAGGTATGAAGTCCATCAGAGCCCCAGAGGGGTTCATCACCCCAAAACAAAAACTATTCTAAATTAGGAAGAATTATGAACAACTGCTCACATTTATGGACAATTCAGCAGCAAAGGACTAACCTGAAGTTCTTGTTGGAGCTGCTTGATTTCCATAATTTCCAGGTCACACTGCTTATCTAGAACTTCCAGCTCAGTCTTTTGAGTTTGTTTTCGGAGTCGGACATCTTGAAGTCTGCCTGAGATCTGCTGATGTTTGCCATTCTATAGGAAGAGCATACAAATATATGGTAACATAAAATGCTAATGGGAAAAGCTCCTATCAGGAGAATCATATTCTTTTTCTTTTTTTAAAGATTTCATTTATTTGACAGAGAGAGGCAGTGAGAGAGGGAACACAAGCAGGGGGAGTGGGAGAGGGAGAAGCAGGCTTCCCGCGGAGCAAGGAGCCTGATGTGGAGCTCGGTCCCAGGACCCTGGGATCATGACCTGAGCCGAAGGCAGATGCTTAACGACTGAGCCAGCCAGGTGCCCCAGGAGAATCATATTCTTATTTAAACTTTTAAATGTCATTTATCATTTGTACTCAGTCTAGATAAATATCTAAAACTAAGTGGAGGGCACCTGACTGGCTCAGTCTGTAGAGCATGTGACTCTTAATCTGCGCGTTGTGAGTTCGAGCCCCACATTAGGCATGGGGCCTACCTAAAAATAAATAAATAAAACTAAGTGGAATGTGTTCTAAGGTTGTATCTGTTAACTCCAGACAGAGTTATTATTAGCAGGAAATGTACCATTCTCAGAGCATAAGAGCCCAGATGTTTATATGAGCAAGCACAAACATAGCACACTGAATTTTTTCTGAATTCAGCAGTTAGGCATTAATATAAAGTATTAAAATAGAGACAGTCTCAAAGAATAATGAGGAGAAATAAACATCTACACGTGACTTTCAGCATTACCTTCTCTAAGCTTCTATTTCTACCCTCTACATTGTCATCTAACTTCCTCTAATTAAACAGGGTCCAGGAGGGCCTTTTTGGCAGAATTCTCTTCTCCTACACCAAATATTCCTTTCCTCTTCTTCTGAGAAGTAGGGGGAAAAAAAACCCAAAACAAACCAGCAGAGATTCTTAATGGAGGCTAAGGAGAAGGGTGAGGTGTTATGGGCTGAAGTGTATCCTCCCAAAATTTATATGTTGAAGTCCTAATCCCCAGGACCTCAGAATGTGACTGTATTTGGAGATACGGTCTTTAAAGAGATCATAAGGTTAAATAAGGTGATATGGATGGGCCCTAATATAACCTGTCCTATGACACGAGAAAATCTGGACACAAAACAGACACCAGAGATGCACAGGCAGAGGAGGGGCCATGTAAGGAAAGAGCAAGAAGGCAGCCATCTGCAAGCCAAGGAGAGAGGCCTCAGAAGTAACCAAACCTGCTGACATCTTGATCTTGGACTCCGGACTCCAGAACTGTGAGAAAATTAATTTCTGTTGTTTAAGCCACCCAGTCTGTGGTATTTTGTTATGGCAGCCCTAGCCAACTGATACAGCAAGGTGAGGAGGAGAAATGAAACTTAAAAATCACTGATGTTTTTACTGAAAAATATGTTTTGTATTTGAGAAACACATGCTAAAAGGAATATGCTATGTCCACCCTACTACTGTCCACCCTAGTGATAGTAAGATAGCATTACTATCTTCAGCATGTATAGACTCTGGACCTTCCAGACTCTGCACATTAATCTGTGCTACTGCTTGGTATGCAATCCAGGTTCTTGGGGGGAAAACGATCAATCAATTGGTCAAATTTAAGGAAAAATATAGTCAGACAGAAATCCAAGTAGCTACACAAAGAAGTTAAATATTTTTAGGCCTGCTTTGTAGTACTATGGCATGAATACATTGTGATATGCTTTCCTGTCCATCTGAAGGCATAAAATAGTACCTATGACTACAAATGTTGTGATTTTTAAAAATTTTAATTTCAAGTCATCAACCAAATAAAATGTCAGACTCTAATTAAAGAAGATCTAAGCTTGGCTCTACAACATGGCTACACACGTATTTTTGCAAAATCCTATTATATATCAGGTCAGGCTTATGGAATCTAGGGTTGTAGTAGAATAGGATGCCTTCCCTACACCCTTTCTATCTTCTCGACACTCTGACATCTGATGTGTAAAAACTGTAAGCATACTGGCCAATATTAGCTAAGAACCATTGTCCTGCAGAACTGGAAGGAATCCTAAGAGACCATTTAGATCAGGAGTTTCAAATCGTTTTTTCTTTTAGCAGAATCCTTTTTTCCAAGCAAATCTAGATAAAACTCCAAGAAAAGCAAAGCAGGTAACTGTTGAGCTTGTCTGTCATGAGTCATGGGAAGTGCTGGGGAGAAGGGAGCACTGCCCTGCTGCCTTGGCAACCGCCCTCCCACTGCTGGTCACCCCTCTGCAGACAATCTTCTAGACACCAATTTCAAAATTGAAAATTACTAAAATAAAAAAAAAAAAATTACCAACCTAGCACAACTCTTTATTTTACAGATGGGCAAAGCAAAACACAGAGAAGGGAAATGTCTTGCCCAGGAATATGTACTTTGTCAGCTTCTGAACTGAGACCGAAACGTAATTCTCAGCATTCTGAGTCACTGTTTGGTAAACTATATTGTCCAGACTGTTAAGCATACATGAAAACATGACTATTTAATCACATGGAAACATCATGTATTCATGAGGTAGGTTTAAAAAACAATGACAGGGGCGGTTCAGTCGGTTAAGTGTCTGCATTCAGCTCAGGTCATGATCCCAGGGTCCTGGGATTGAGCCCTGTGTGCAGGGAGTCTGCTTCTCTCTCTCTCCCTCTGCCCCTCCCACCTCCCCCTCCCCACCACTCGTGCTTGCTCTCTCCCTCTCTCTCTCTCTCTCTCTCTCGTGTGCGCTCTAAGTAAATAAAATCTTAAGAACAAATTAAAAAAATAAAAAACAATAACATTTTTCAACAGGTAACTCTACCATCATTCAGAAATTTCACTTAAACTTCAGCCATACCAATGCTTCCAACTCGAGATGAAGACTCTTCTTTTTAGAGTTTAACCTGACAATTTCTTCCTGTTCTCTATTCCTTTGATTGAGAAGTTCCTGTCGACGAATCCTCTCCCATTCCAAACGACGTTGCCTTTCCAGTTCCTGTTTTGCTGCCTGAAAATAATGAATTAAATTTTTAAATTAACAATTTTGCATCATTCAAAAACTGATGGGATAACAAAGATAAAGGTGAGGCAGCATTTAGCACTTAGTGGGCTTCAGCGCCTACGTTAGGAAACTGGGCAAACCCAGTTTTATCAGTAGGCCTAACCTACAGACTTCCACAAAAGCCGTTATCACCCATCAGACTTTTTGATTGCTTCATGGGACCATTTTCTTGTTTGTAGTTACTTTTTTCTTAAACAAAAAGACAATTTCAGAAAGATAAGTGTTAAATGGAATAATCGAACCTTTATTCTGGTATCGAGGAAGAAAAACCCTCTCCTGACATTACTTCAGTGTCATTATGATTTCCGTGCTCCATCCCAAGCCCCATAAAACAAAGCCAGTCCTTGTAGGGGCACCACACAACAGCATTATCCCAAGGACCTGTGTAAGCCCACCCTCGTGCCTCCCCTCCAGACCTTCGACTCCCCAGGCTCAGCTTTCTGTGGCTCCAATTCTGTGGCGCCTTACTCTGGACCCTAGGCCTACTTTTGTTCATGCCCTGCCTGGATGGACTTCTTCCTCTGGCCCACTAACCTCAGCGCCTCGCTCAACTCAGCTTTGCAATCAGTCCTCCTTTGAATGACTTAGCGCCTGCAGACAGGCCTTTTCTCCAGTTATTGGCCCTGAAAACCCTTCACAAGGGAAGGAAGGCTCAGAGTTGGAGAGGATAAGTAAGAATGAATGATGCAGAGAAAGAGGCACAATAAAAATAGCCATTTTTAATTCAAATGGAATGAAGCCACTTATTAAATATAATCATTTTCTGAGAAAAAAAATAACTTAAAAATAACCTCTCGTCTTTCTATCTCTTTTCTCCTTTCTTCCTCCCGCTGTCTCTCCAACTCCCTCTGCTTCTCCAGGCGTTTTTCTAATTCAAGTTGTTTCTTCCATTCTTGCTCCTGTAATTCTCTCTGTTTGCGCTCCCACTCTTCCTTTTCTTTCTGAGCTTTACGTTCTGCCTCCCTCTGCTGCTGCTCCATCAGCACTTGGCGTCGCTTCTCCAGTTCCACGTTCCCTCGCTCGTAGTTGGCCTTCCGCTTGTCCTCGAAAGTAACTAAATAAAGCATATTGTAAGCACTCTCGCATGAAGAGCCCAAGCACGTGGACTCCAGTCTCAACACTCTCATGCCTCCCGATCATCTGAGTGCTGTTACTCTGTAGATACTTCCCCTGAGGATAATTTTAACTCAAATGTAAATAGTAAAGTATTTACTTTTGTCCAAGAGTATTCATTTTTGGAAAACAAATTTCTAAGTTTGAATCCATCTGAGAGAGAGAAATAATTTTACTATTACTGCCAATAAAAATACTTTCCAACTTTTCTCTCAGCATTTTCTTCAAAGGCAAACAAAGCTATATGGCTATATACTTGTTCTATTTGATATAGTTCATTAATTTTTTAATACTTTAAAACATCTGCATATATACTTTTTCAACCAATATTTAAACTTTTCTTTACAGCTAAAGACTTCATTCATCACAAAGCTTGCTCCAGTGATTTTTCCTAAAGTGGGAGAAACATTTTAACTAGGATGTCTAATACAGACTCTTGCCAAATACATACACTGTCTCTTCTTCCTAAATACACTTCTCATTTTTACTATCTTCATTTTATTGATGTCAAAATCCAACCCATTCATCAAATAGTTTTCTCTTATATAAAATATTAAGAATGTAATGATTCTACATACTCGTTTACATCTCAAGGTAAAATTTAAGAGAACTCACTGTAAATATTCAACTTAGACATTCAATGTTACCTGGTAACTTTTTCTGAGGTTCCTCTTCTTGAATTTTCTGATATGAAGGCAGAGTTCCATTAATAGAATCAATTTGTTTTCCTCCTCTAAGAAAAGCAGAAAACAAACAAATTTAGCATCACGCAGTCTGAGAATTTCTAGACTGTATATACAGATATACTACCAATGACTAGAGCCATTTAATATGTAGAATGCAGTATTAAAGACATTTAGAATGCAATATGGTCTAGAGCTACACTGTACAGCAGGATATGGACTGTCTAGCCAGGGAGATCTGGATTCGCATCACAGTTTAGCTGACTGCTATCCATGAGCAAGTGTGTTCTTAATCTCTGTCAGTTTCCTTATCTATAATATGGTGGAAACACACCTATTTCCACTCCTTCCTGGTGTAACTCATTAAATACCAAAATCGAATGGTAGCGTTGATGTTTAACTTCCCACTAAACTAGAGCAGAGGCCTCAGGAGATCGCAATGTAATAATCACGTCTGCCCAGGAATCAAAACCATGCCTCTTCACCTCAAGAGGTGCCCACCTGAAAGACGGAGGGACAAGCTCAGGAGGCAACGTCAGTGGCAACGGCTGGCCGGCTTTGGCCATGTCGGTGAGGTGCATCGCAAGGATGAACTCTTCAGCTTTCAGCTGTCCATCACCATCAATGTCAGCCAGGGTCCTAAAGCAAATGTGAACGTTCACAGCTTATAAACAAAGTCTACTTAAAGTATTTTCAAGAGTTTAATATTTAATTTCAAAAAAGAATAACGACAGGAAAACAGCTGGGTTAACATATTTTAGTGAAATGTAAATATATATGGAAAAGTGAGCTTATTTTTACCCTTCATTGTCCTATCGCACGAGAGGGGAGAAACTTCGAAACAGAAAGGGAAACATTCCTTCTGAAAAGGTGGCTTGTCTCATTTTATGGATAATTCACCTATCAAACACATTTAGCTCTAAATTAAAAGTGAGATATTCCCTAATTCTCCATAGATGCCATTAGGAAAAGGCAAACTAGTTTTACTTGCAAAATAATTACATGCTACATTGTCAAGAATAACAATTTGTACAATTTTATTGGCTTTCAAGGTTGCATTAGCCTTCAAATGGCTGCTTTAATGGAACATCTTTGAGTCACAAAACTTTTACAGAAACAGTATTTTTCTTACAATAGAGGATGTATAGTTAAAAATCATAATTAATGGACAAACTCACCAAATAGTAGCTAGCTGAGTTTGAGAAAGATTTGACTGAAGAAGGGCATTTCTAGCTTGAAAACCTGATTGAGTGGGGAAAACCAGAAAAAAGAAAGAAAATTCCTTAGCTTCTTTAAAGTCATGCAAACCTAAATAACTGTATTCTATAAAATAATACTGCTGCTATCCTGGGAACTTTTAACATCAAAAACGTTTTACCACGTGCCAGGTGCTGAGCATTCAGTAGTAATCAAAACACAGCTCTTGCCCCAAGGAATTTAAAATCAAGAATTAGTAACTCAAGTGTTCCCCCATGTCGTTTCAGAAAATAACAATCCACATGACTGACCAACAAGAAGCACCAAGCACTGGCACAGAAAGTACTAGAGGCTGAGTTCTTGGGCCTCCTCGTGCTCCCTGTGCACCTCTAAGTACTGCTTTCTTAGCATCTTCAGACCTCCTCGTCTCTCTCTTTCCTCTGTCTCTACTCTCCCTCTTCCAAACGACCTGTAAATGCTGGCATTCCCCAAGGCTCTGTCCTGGGCACTCTGTTCTCTTTGTGTGTTCAATTCATTTCTGTGACTTTAAATAACACCTAGATAACTTGCAAATGTAAGCCCCAGCCCAAACCTCTGCTCTAGGTTTAGACTTCTATATCTAATTGAAAAACCTGCTGAAGTATTTCACAGGCATCTCAAACCAAATACGTACAAAATGACTCTCTCAATCCCCATTCACAGCCCGCTTCCTAACCTTCACCCAAACCATTTACCTTTAGCCTTCCCCTTGCTCTGGGTGGCATCACTGCCCCTCCAGGGGCTCAAGCCAGAAAGCAGAAAGTCACCCTTGATCCTTCCCTTATGTATACCCATATCCAACATCAAGTTCTACAATTCAACATGACTGCATGTGTGGGTCCTTCTCACTCTAAAAGTCTCAATTTAATGCCACCTTCTCAGAAATGCCTTCTCTGTCCACCCTATGATCCAATATACTTCCTGCTTGTTTCCTTCATAGCTCGTATCACAATCTGTAATATAACATCTTCCTGTTTACCTGTTTATTGTCTGTTTCCATTATCATACTAGGTCCTACGGACAAAATCCTTGACTGCCTTATTCACTAACATATTATACCCAGTGCCAGGTACATAAATGCTTAATAAATATTTGCTAAAGTGATGAATAAAGTTGTAATCCAAAGTTCTCTAAGGTGCAGTGGGGACTTACGGGCTAGGGTTTGAGAGTAATAACAGCATTCACTGGATGCTTACGATCTGTAATAAACTGTTCCAACTTCTTTTCTCTCCCTCACTGATCAAAAATATGCTTCTGTAATAGGCTTCCTGACCTGTATTTTCATGTCAGGATAATGGTCACACAGAAATCCCAGGAATCCGGGGCGCCTGGGTGGCTCAGTTGGTTAAGCAACTGCCTTCGGCTCAGGTCATGATCCTGGAGTCCCTGGATCGAGTCCCGCATCGGGCTCCCTGCTCAGCAGGGAGTCTGCTTCTCCCTCTGACCCTCCCCCCTTTCATGTGCTCTCTCTCTCTCTCTCTAATAAATAAATAAAATCTTTAAAAAAAAAAAAAAGAAATCCCAGGATTCCATTCAGAACAGAAAGTCCCTGTCTCATTCACAGGAGCATTCACCCCTGGTGGGCAAGTGTGTAGCTTTCGGACCATGGATAAAATGACACGGCTTCTCTAGGGACTGTCTCCTAGTCAGTAAAGCTGGTGTCACACCTCCCACTCCCAGGTGACGACTAAGCCATGAGTATTGAAGAGTCAGGCCCTACTCAGGGTTCAGCCTGAGTCGAGAACCACTCAAACAATTCTGCACAAAAAAGTGTACATACACTGGAAATAGCTCATACCATCTCCCAAATAATTAGTCCTCAGTAGATTTCACGTAAGTGAGATTTGAGGAGGTCTTTATGTTAAAAGAAGGGCTCTTCCAATAAGGGGGAAATGGAAGGTTATTTTAAACCCGAAAAAAAGGTTTAGTAACTGGGGCGCCGGGGTGGCTCAGTCGTTAAGCGTCTGCCTTCGGCTCCAGTTGTGGTCCCAGGGTCCTGGAATCGAGCCCCGCATCGGGCTCCCTGCTCGGCGGGAAGCCTGCTTCTCCCTCTCCTACTCCCCCTGCTTGTGTTCCCTCTCTGTCTCTCTCTCTCTCTGTCAAATAAATAAATAAATAATCTTTAAAAAAAAAAAAAGATCTAGTAACTAATGTTTCAGCTCTTGGTCAAAGACAACTGAAAGTAGACTCCTTAGCATTAGGCAACAGAGCAAACAGGAGGAAGGAAGGAAGGAAGGAATGTAAATGGTTAAAAGCCTACTGGTGGAAGGCTTAAATATGTGCAAGGTGTAAATAATATAAACGGCTATAGAGAGCCAGCAGAGTACTCAGTAGAGAGTACTCTACTAAGAAAAGCTCACTTGAACGTCTACACTGTTGGTCTGCCAATCCTTTGGATATCCTATTTCCTGTGCCTATAATGCTAGTCCCTCCTTCTCTACCTGGTGGACTACTCATCCTGTAAGATCCAGCTCAGCTGTCATCTCTTCTATGAAACGCTCTCATATCCTCAGCATTAGTCACTTTCTCATCTATCTTAATCACAGGACTTTTATTTTTTATATATTTTTTAAAAATATTTTATGTATTTATTTAAGGGAGAGAGTGAGCAAGCGAGCAGGGGGAAGAGCAGAGGGAGAGGGACAAGCAGACTCCACTGCTGAGCATGGAGCCTGACATGGGGCTCAATCTCATGACCCCAAGATCATGACCTGAGTTGAAATCAAAAGTCAGATGCTTAACCAACTGAGCCATCCAGGCACCCCAAACACAGCACTTTTAAACCATTAATCAAATATTATGATTCTGTGACCTATATACCATGGACTCCTCAAAGATATGGACGATATCTTCCCCCCTCTGTGCATTCCAGTGCATCACAGAGTGCCCAGAAGATGTGACTCAGAAACTACAAGTCAATGAATTAATCTAAATAAATCACAAGAGTTTAGAAGGAAGGGAAGAAGAAGAGGAAGAAAATTAGACCACCGAATGCTACACTCATTTAACAAAGCATAACATGTAAGTCTAGGCCAGTCCCATCCTCATATACCTGGGGCTCATGCTCAGTTTCAAGACACAAGAAACAACTATTTTTTTAAAAAAAAAAATCTTTCCCTTAACTATGAATATATAGCTTTACTCTCATTCTCTGCAAACAACTCAATACATGACCTTCATACAATGTGACATATACAAATAAAGTAACATTAGGGGACTAATTCTTCATAGTTGACTTTCCATTGATCTTCATATTCCACCTTTGTTTATACTGTATATTTTTAGTACGTAAAGTATACTAATCTTAAGTGTACTGTTTGATGAATTTTTACATAGGTATGTACACATGCAACCAACATCCTTATCAAGATACAGAATGTTTTTAGCACCTCAGAAGGTTTGTGCATGACCCCTTCCCAACAGAGTAATTATAATATTCTGATTTCTATCACCATCAACCAGGTTTCTGGTTCCTCAGGTTCATATAAATGTATTGAATAGTGTGGACCCTTTGGGCCAGGCTTCTTCCATTCAATACATTATCCATGTTGTTGTATGTATCAGGAATTCATTCATATTTTTGCTGTGAAGTGTTGTGTTATAGGAACACACCACAATTTGTTTATTCATTCCCCTGTTGATAGACATTTAGGCTGTTTCTTTCTCAGATGTTTTGAATGAAGCTGCTATGAACATTTTTGTACATGTCCTTTTAGTCCACTTTTTATTTTGAAAAAAGAAACTTTTTAATGCAAAATGTAGTGCCCAAAGTTTATTTTTTAAAAAAATGGGAATTGTGACTTTTCATGAATCTTAAGTGTGCTGAATATCATATTTCACAGAATCTAAGATGCCATCAATTATAAGACACATCATTATTTTAGGTAACACTAAGAAAGAAAAAAACACTGCCAACAAAATCATGACCCAGTGCTAAGACACCACTGATGGTAACACATGTCCCTAATTTCAGAGATGTTAAATGTTAAAAAAAAAAAAAAAGTATGACTTAAAAATATAGTATATCTTATTTCAAGTAATTTGATAAAATTACAGAAAAGTGTAGTTATTATGTACTTTTTGTTACATATAAAATAGCGAATATTAGGTTATGAGGTATGATATAAAGACATGCCTGAACTTACCACCCGAACTTAACACTAGATCATTACTAAATGCTTTGAAGCAATGTTCCATGACTTTATCTCCACGCCTCCTTCATGAGAGGGAACTACTGTCCTGATTTTTGTGTGCATAATTCCCTTGCCCTTTTTTTTTCCTTTAGTTTCTAGTGGCTTTGACATACACGGCCTCAGACGCAAGCGCAGTAAGCAGTGCTAAGTGTACAGAAAGGAGCAGTCCAGCCCAAGGCCCAGTCACCCTCTACCTTGGTTTTTTTTTTTTTTAAGTTTTTATCACAGTTATGAAAATTTAAAGAGAACATTGCACAGTTTTGCTTGTCCAATCAATTCCAAGGCCTTCTTGCTCCCCTGCCCCACTGCAAAATTAAGAGACATCATACTCCTATACTAAATAGACTACTTTTCAAATTCTCCAAACATACCATGTACTTGTTGCTCTTAAGATTTCTTCTCTGTCACCCTCAAATGCTATCACCTTCAATCTCTATCTGCCTAAACCCTAACTCTTCCTTTCATGATGGAGCTGAAATGCTCCCTTCCTATAAGATGTTTTATCTGATCTCTTTAGTATTAGCATCTCCCATTCTATGTTCCCTAAGCACTTTAAAGCTCTATTATCTTAAAACACATCTCTTATTTCTCTGTCTAAACTGTAAATTAGTTGCTGAGGGAAGAGAAAGGGGGAAAGTTAGAAGGTGGGAACTCTACTTGCCTATTACCCTCTGTTTATATCTCCTTCACTATCCTTAATTGGAAATGTTTGGATAATGTTCTAGCGTGGACTCAAATGTTCTGTAGGGACATGAGGTCAAGTCTTATGGGCACATCTGGGTTGGAACATTAAAGGGTGGACAATGCTCACAGAGGTTTTAGTAAGGATAAGCACAGAAAGACCCAATGAGGAAGGGGACCCACAAGGAAAAAGCTGAGGCTAAGTCCCACACACTGGTCCTTGTCATAGGAGGTTCTTCTTTCACTGTACTGGAGGATGAGGCTTAATCTTCTCAAGGGAGAGGTCTTTTTTCCGAAAAGTTCGGTGTCTACCTGTGTGCTCAACTTCACTGTAAGAACTTAGAAGAAATCAATCAAGTTGTATCCATCTTTGAACTCTTACACAACTTAAAATATCTGTATTTATCAAATGCCTGCTAAATTTTTTGGATGTTAAAATTTTAGATGAGCTACAAAGTACAAACTCAAAAGTTCTTCACTAGGAATTCATATAAAAAACTTTAACCTTCTCACGTTCTTAAGCACTGAATGCCACTTACCTGAGAGGTATCCACTCATGCTTTTGTCAAGACTATTAAATTTTTGCCGATATTTTAATCTTGAAGGTTGAGGAACTGCCCACTCTGCGATCCCGGTCTTGGGCGAGTTCCCTGATAGTGAAGCAGTTGAGGAAGTTGAGCTATAACAAAATTTATTTAATAATTTTATGTTACTAAATAAAATACATTTAGTTAAACCTCATAAGGCAGAGACATTAAGAATCATACCTTCCATAGTGCAATAGTAATTGCTTTTCTGTTTGATATTTGAAAAATTTAATTTCACCTCATTCTTAGGAAAGCAGATACCACATGAAGTACAGAACTACTGTATACCAAGAACCTACTATGTGCCAGGCCCTGTATTGTGCCAGAGCCTTTATGAATACTTTTTCTAATCCCCATGGCAAACTTAAAAGGTATTACTGTCTCCACCTTTTCAATGGGCAAACTATGGCTCAATGATGTTATGAAAAACAAGGTCACACATTCAATGAGTATCTCAGCTGGGATACCAATACTCTTCTTCTGGGTTAAAGCTAACACTCCTGGTACACTGCTTTGAAGAGTATTATGATTTATATGAGGAGTGATGAATGAACACTGATGCTTTTGTGTTTTCTAAAATGTAAAAGATACTCAACCAGCAGAATTTGCTCAAGAAAAAAATTAATAATATACCATAATTATGAGACTTTTTGAGAAACATAGACAAAAAGTACATTATTTTGGGCAAAAACTTGACTAATTAGAAATACAGCAGAACACTTTTAGTTTATGTGAAACATTTTTTCAAGCATTTACTAACTCTAAAAACAAAAAATTATTTTATGTGAGTTATAAGAGTAAATTTACCTTAAGCATTTTACATTTGGCCACTGTAAAGTAAAACCTGAATAAGCTCAGAGCTTCAAAAAAAAGTCATTTGTAGATACTCCTTATTGAAAGCATAAAAAGTTGGAGGTTTTAAGCCTTCATACCTACTAGATCCTAAATCAATCAGAGACTGGGCTTTCTGTAAACTAGCACCGCTGCCGAGTCCTCCCATCATGAGACTGTAAGATGATGTATGAGGCAATGCTAAAAAAGAGAAAAGAAAGAAAAGAAGAAAAAGGTTCACGCTAAACAGTATTACAAAGTATGAAGGAAATCTGTATTTATTGGGACACAAATATACCAGTTTCTTTCTTTGACAGTTTCTTACTCATTAGCTAGGAAGTACTTACTTGAAGAAGAATAAGGAATGGATAAAGGCTGAGTGAGGCCAGCGGTTCCATTTGGTAGTGATGATGTGCTAACGGAAGGCACTAGGGGAGCAGGCATCATTAAGGGAGGAAGGGTGGTCCCTGAAGTCGCAGAGGATAAGGGGGTTGCCATAGGTGCAACTGGAGGCAATGAGTGAGGCATGGACAGATTGGGCATGCTTCCCATTCCTAGAGACAAAACAGAACACATTTCCCAGCACTAGCAATGGACTATAAAACACATGCCAGAAAACAAACTGACAGTACACTGGGCAGATCCGTGTTTATACACACACTATGGGCCGAAAAGTCCTCTAGTTAAACAGTTCATTAAAGCAGCGTTGGGGCGCCTGGGTGGCTCAGTTGGTTAAACCGCTGCCTTCAGCTCAGGTCATGATCCCAGGGTCCTGGGATCGAGCCCCGCATCGGGCTCCCTGCTCATGCAGGAAACCTGCTTCTCCCTCTGCCTGCCGCTCCCCCTGCTTGTGCTCTCTCCCTCTCTCTCTCTCTCTCTGTGTCAAATAAATAAATAAAATCTTTAAAAAAAAAAAAATAAAGCAGCGTTGACTTAGCAGCGAGGAAGGTACACCACTGCTTTTAATATCAACATTCTGACCTGTGTGAACTACGGGAATGCCTAAAGGAGTTAAAGATTCTCTTCTAGCATCATGATGAAAGCTAAGCATCCTTTTCCAATTAAATATTAGTCCTCTCAAAGAGAGACTGTATTACCTGATTAAATGTGGGGTTTTGTGTAAGGATAAGTGTAGTGTTGTTGAGTTATTCAACTAACACACACACAAACACATTCCCCCAAGGTCCCCACCCCCCAAAAAAGGATATTCTAGTTACTAGATATGTTAGAAGACCCATTTATGCATATGCATTATTTGTAAGAAGGAAGTATGCCACATATTTCACTTTTCTTCTAAGTAACACATCCATGGATTTAAGAACAATTCTTTAAAAAGAATAAAATGATGACTTTTATTCACTTACTAACTGCAGATTACTAGGTACACTATATAAGATGGTCACACGATCTGGTATTTATCTCTAGAGCTCACTGCAATTAGTCAAAGAATTTAGTATTTTAAGATCTAACATCTGGAATGAAAGAACATGGTTCAGATTCACAGAGCTATCTAATTGAATGTTCCATTCCAATGAGTGCTTCCTATATATACTTAATAAGAAACTGGCTAATCAAAATGAACAGAAAACAGATTCTCTCTGATGAATATGTAAATTAATGAGCACAAAGTCTGCAACTTTTAGCCCTGAATTTAGCTGGGTAATTAACCTTTAAATTAGAAAAATTTCTACTCAGGAATAATTTTAAGTTACCTCCCAACTTAAACCATTTCAAGTGAGTTTAAAATTGTTCACATTTTTTCTGTTACTCATACAGAGCAGAGAGGAAACTAAGAATAGTACTTAAGATCAGCTCTAACTGGGGGGGTCATATAATTTATCACCCAGCTGGGAATTGTGAAGGGGACAGTAACCAGACTTGAGGCCGGGACAATGGGCGTAAGTCAGAACTGTCCCTGGGAAACTGGGTCACAAGGACATCCCTGCTGTGAGAGCGAGTGTAACATCACATCTCAGCCATGAAAATTAACTTGGAGTCTGAGGATTATTGCTGCATGCTAACAAACCCTTTTCTAAATCCCAATATTATGTATAGGAATCAAGTTTAACTATCAAATGCAGCCAATTCAATTAATAAATACATACCAAAACGAGCAGAAATTAATGGAGAGAACATAGGAGGTTGTTTCATAATAGGAGGGAGGACCACGGGCAACTGTTGGCCCTGCAGCTTTAGTTTGATGAGTTTCATCGCTATGGAGAACTCCTGCTGATCCATCTTCCCATCCTTGTTCAGGTCTGATAAAGCCCTAAAAGGATCATGAGGTGTGTAGACTGGTATGTAGGGTTAGCATTATTTTTAAGGATGATAAAATGGAAACAACAACATAGCATTCACACACAGATCATCACATGATAACCACATATATAAAATTAAGCAAATAAAATCCAAAAAGCTAAAACCTGTAAATTAAGAAATACTGACCAAAGACAGCATCTAATGAAATACTGCCAGTCTACACAGAATCCATGTAGAGAGAATCTATGAGACCTTTGGGATGAATTCCACCAGTGGACAGAAATAAATTATTCAAGAGTATAATCATTCTAAATTTAATCTATTAATTTGCCCAAATATTTGTTGAAAGCTTGCTATGTGTCCAGTACTCCACCAGGCATGGGAATATTCCAAGTGGAAAGAAAGATGGGGTAAGGGTTGATATTTATTGTAAATGCATTAAAAAAACAAAACCCTAGGGGTGCCTGAGTGGCTCAGTCAGTGGGACAACTGCCTTCGGCTCCGGTCATGATCCCAGGGTCCTGGAATCGAGCCCCGCACGGGGCTCCCTGCTCAGTGGGGAGCCTGCTTCTCCCTCTTCCACTCCCCCGTTTGTGCTCCCCCTCCACTGTCTCTGTCAAATAAATTAAAAAAATCTTTAAAAAAAAAAAAAAAAAACCCTAGATAATATAAAGAACAATTTTGTTTAAGGCAGGAGCAGGAAGAGGGAGGGCTAATTTTGGGTTTATAGATGATGAGAGAAAAGAAATGAAATAACTACAAAGTAACAGAAAAAAGATTTTGAGAGTCTGCCAAATTATAAAGAAATGTTTTTCAATGGCAATGTATACATCTTTCCCTAAAAATTCTAAGGACGTTAAAAATTTGTCCAACAGAGGGGTGCCTGGGTGGCTTAGTGGGTTAAGCATCTGCCTTCAGCTCAGGTCATGATCCCAGGGTCCTGGGATCAAGCCCCACTTTGGGCTCTGTGCTCAGTGGGGAGTCTGCTTTTCCCTCTGCTCCTCCCCTCCCAACTCGGGCTTGCTCTCTCTCAAATAAAATCTTTAAAAAACAATTTGTCTAACAGAACAAAACCCCAATTATTTTCAGTCATTTACTCAATAAAATTTATTTTCCTAAAAGATGAGGAAATACTTAACAACAGCAGACAATGAGTAAAAACATCTTTATATTAACACTACATCAAAAACAAAATACAACCAGACTATCAGAAATTTAAATTCATCTACAAGAAAGAACACTTTACCATATTTCAGCTAAAACAGGAGCCGGCAGGCCTGACTGTAAGAAAAAGGTACGTGCTTGATCACCTGAAGGTAACAGAAGCAAAAATCAAGTAGCACATTAGTAAATGGAATTCCTCCAATGCCTCTGAATAATAATAACGTACAATAATAATGCTATTGCTTGTCATTTTAATTGCAGTCACTAAAGAATTAAACAGAAATACACTTATAAAATTATTTACATTACATTAATAAGATTTAGGTTTTAAAACAAAAAAGCCACAAATGAAGTTATGTGCATTACTCAATGATGAAAGATTACATTATTCATCTTAGTTTTTTCAGAGTAACTGGGGTATTACTTGATAATATTTCCATTTAATAAAATCCGTAATTTAAAACACCATTCCCCAGAAGAGTTCTAAATAAAAAAATACCAGGTGTTGGGAAAGACAGTCCCCCAGTGGGTCTCTCACAATCCTCTATGTCCTGCTGTATGTGACAAGAATGCAAGACCCTAACTGCTCTCCACCTGGGTTGCTTCTCAGGTTGGGTTTGCAGTGAGCAATCTTGAGGCATGATGAGGTAATATTCCCCCTGGGCTAAAAAAACAAGCCTGCTTGCTAAAAATGGTGGGTTCCCTCAGGCTCAGCGTTCCTGTCCTATAACACAACTGGGGCATTTTTAACATTCTTTTGGGCTCTCTGCGTCACCCTGTGGGACTTCGGGGACAGAGAAGCCTATAAGAACATGCTGATGCTCATGCTGCTAGCTGTGCCATTTGTAACAAAGTCCTTTGTCTCTGACTCAGGAACCCTGGGTCTTGTGTCGCATCCATGAGACAGTAACAGACTACATTATTAACTTGTAAGTAGGGTAATCAAATCCCAGTCCTGATACCAGGAAAGGTAGCTATTATTATAGAAGTACAAATAACATTAAGCTATAATGCCTAAGAGGATGGATTCCAAAATCAGACTGAAAGGTTTCACAGCACAGATCAACACTAACAATCTGTAAATACAGACAATAGTAGCTACTCTATAAGGTTGTTGCAAGATTAAATGAGATGATGCACTTAGGTATAACATCTGAAATACAGCACAGATTTGGTAAATATTAGTCATTATAGTTACTATTACTGTAAATAAAGCACTCAGGTGCTTTGGCATAGGAAAAAAGTTTAATCTATACAAAAAAATTTGAAAGACACACCTAATTAATCCTCTCTAGGCTCTGGAGGTCATCTTGCAAAACAAGGGCTAGTGCCAACAATCAACGCTTGGTATCAACTCTCAAAAACAGAGGACTAGCATTATAAAAACAGATTGTAGAAAAAAACTTCTAGATTATTTTCAAGGAAATGGGCCGGATATCTGTACTTCTTCTAGACTTAGTAATACTGATTGCTATACAGGGAACTGGCACAATGGATTAAGAGCACATCAATAAATTTGGTTGGAAAAAAGTCTCAATTACCTTAAGAAATAAATTGAAAACGTTCTAGAAATAATGTTAAAGTGGGAAACTGGACAATTAAACTGAAATTGTTGGTTATCATTTAGGATTAAGAAAAAGATCTATAAGCCAAATCCAAAAAAACAAATTAAGACAGTTGCAGGTAAAATAAGAAAGCCACTATTTTTTTTAATGCATGAATTCTGATTGATAGGAATTTTATCACTTAGTAATACAAAATTGATGGTAATCAAATTAAAACTAATTCTAAGACATTACATGAAAAGGAACATAACTCACAAATAAATACATAAATACAAACCTGTTATGTAACCTCCTGAGGGTTTGAGGTTATCAAACTGCTTGTCATGCTTAGTCCGTTCTTCAGAGGTAATAGCCCACATGTTTGGCCCTCCTAAACCATAAGTGAAAGGCAAAGAAATTATAGTATATATACAAGAATGCTCTAAATAATTCTAAAATGTAAACATGAATCACAGGTGTCCATTTAGTGATAGTACTCTATCCCTGCGTGACACAAACAGTAAAGCTCTATCATGACCATATATATATTATATGTACATAAAATATACATATATAGCACAGCCCTGAGGTTCTTCACTCATTCACCCCATTAACATCTATAGAACAATTACTGAATACCACTCACTTGAAATAGGCAATAAGCTAAATTATGGAAATAAAAAGATGAATAAAATATTATTCCCATCCTCTCTACACATTCAACATAGCTAATAACCACCTATATACTTCACTTCTGACTACCTTTCAGTTTACTCAACTTCCACCAGTAAGAAACCAAGTATGTTTAGGTATATAAATTCATACATGTTTGCTGTTTATGGTATAAAAATCTGCCTTACAGAGTTGTTTCCAGGAATGCCTATCATTGAAAAGTAGGTACCCATACACTTTGAAGCACTAAGATGGACCTGATTTAACAAATATTTCTTATCCTTAAACGAATGGATTAAAAAAAATCTATAAACATCCTCTTTTAAAGACAAGTTTTAAGATTAAAGTTAAAAATACAGAAGCAGATGTACTGAAGAACTAAGTTCCCAAAACAGCCAAACCCACACACTTTCTAAATAAATACCACACACATAGTGAACACCTACTTGGTTTATCAGTTTATTATAAAGTAAACAAATTAACCTGTCACTACTCTTGTGACTAGGAGTGTGGGTGGACTGCTTTACTACCGTAGGAATCTGGAAAACTGATGACAACAGAAAAACAACGACAACAACAAAGGATGACAAAGAAGGAAGCAGCTCACTTTCACCGAGTCCCAACTCTATGTCAGGGACTTTTTATGCAGTCACTCACTACTCCCACCGCTGCCCTATACGTTAGGTACTACTATTATACCCATGACACAGGTGAGGGAAACCAAAACCCACAGTGGTAAAGTTACTTGCTCAAGGTCACACAACTAATAAGTGGCAGAGCTGAGATCAGAACCCAGGTAGTCTGAACTCTGTGCTACACTGTCTCTCAATATTTATGGATAAGATGCTCATGTTCTCTGTACCTTAGCTGCCACCTCTAAAAGTTAGGAAGATTATCTAAGTTTACGCAGTTGTTGTAAAAAGTAATGTATCTACTCTAAAAATAACACTAAATATAATTCTTCATCTATTAGATTGGTAAAATAACAACACCAGCATTTAATGAAACTTGCCACATGTTAGGTATTTCTCTAAGAGCTTTATGTGTACTGTTTCGAAAAGTCTCATAAGAATTCTATGAGGTCACTATTCTTATTATCACTGTTTTACAGAGGAGGAAACAGAGGCATGGAGAGATTAAATAATTTGCCCGACATATCGAAGTTGGTAAGTGTTGAAGACAGGATCAGAATCCACAGACTTAATTGAGAATCTAAAACTATCTGCCCTGACAATAATTAAAAAGAAATAAACCCACAAATAGGTTGTCACTTGATTTCAACAAAGACGTTAAGTAATTCAATGGGGAAAGAATAACCCTTCATTGAACCAGGCTGAAAAAACAGAACATCCACATGAACAACAATAACAACAAACCATCTCAATCGTGCACGATATACAAAAAATTAATTCTAAATGGATTATAGAATTAAACACAGGAGCCAAACTATCAAACTTCTTGCAAAGAAAGTAAACAAGAAAATCTTTGTGACTTTGGATTAGGAAATAATATTAAGACACAAACAACACAAATGATTAAAACTTTTTGATAAGTTCGACCTTCTCCTTTCTTAAAGACACTGTTGTTAAGAAAGTAAAAAGACAATGGGGCACCTGGGTGGCTCAGTCGGTTAAGCATCGGACTTGTGATTTCAACTCAGACCAGGATCTCATGGGTTGTGAAACTGAGCCCCATGTCCAGCTCTGCACTCAGCAGGGAGCCTGCTTGAGATTCTCTCCCTCTGTCCCTCCCCCCACTCATGCTTGGGCGCGCATGAGCTTGCTCTCTCTCTAAAATAAATCAATCTAAAAAAAAGAAAAGAAAAAGACAAGCTACAGACTAGGAGAAAATATCTGCAAAATATAATAAAGGACATGCATCCAGCATATATATAAAGAACTATTCAACTCATTAATACAATCCTTGCTCCCCCCCATTCAAAAAATGGGCAAAAGATCTGAACAGACATATTAAAGATATACAGATGGCAAATAAGCACGTGACAAGATGTTCAATGTCACTGATCATCAGGGAAATGCGATTATTTTTTTTAAAGATTCTATTTATTTATTTTTGAGCGAGAGAGAGGGAGAAAGAAAGCACAAGCAGGTGGAGGGGTAGAGGGAGAAGCAGGCTCCCCGCTGAGCAGGGAGCCTGACTTGGGGGCCTTGATCCCAGGACCCTGGGATCACAACCTGAGCCAAAGGCAGACGCTTAACCTACTGAGCCACCCAGGCGCCCTGGGAAATGCATATTGAAACTACAGTAACATATCACTCCATGCCCATAGAATGTCTAAAGTTTTTTTAAAAAAACTGCTGGCAAGGATGCTGAGCAACTCAAACTCTCACATACTGCCGGTGGGGAAGGAAACTGAGACAATTTAGAAAAAAGAGTCTGGCAACTTCTTATGAAGTTAAGTATGCATTTCCCATGCAACCCAGCAATAAACTCCTGGGTAGGGGCACCTGGGTGGCTCATTCGATTAAGCGTCTGCCTTCAGCTCAGGTCATGATCCCAGGGTCCTGGGATCAAGCTCTGCATAGGCTCCCTGCTCAGTGGGGAGCCTGCTTCTCCCTCTCCTGCTCCCCCTCCTTGTGCTCTGTCAAAAAAATAAATAAAATCTTAAAAAAAAAACAAACCAACACCAAACCCAAAAACCTGGGTATTTACCCATGAGAAATGAAGACTTTGTCCAGATAACAATCTGTCCTCTGATGATTAGAGCAGCTTTAGACATCTGGTTTAGACACCAAAGCCTGGAAATAACCTAGATGTTTTTAATAGATGAATGGATAAGCAACTTGTGGTACACATTTATACAATGGAATTCTACTCAGCAAAGAAAAAGAAAAATATATACAATGACCTGGATGAACTGCAAAAGTTTTTTGTTAGGTGAAAGGAGCCAGACACAAATAGCTATATACTGTGTATTTCACTTATATGACATTCGGGAAAAAGCAAAACTGTAGGCACAGAAATCTGATCAGTGGTTGCCAGTGGCTAAGGGCGGGGTATAGGGGAATGAGGGAATCCTCTGGGTGATGGAAATATTCCATATCCTGATTTTTATGACTGTATACATTTGTTAAAACCCATCGAACTATATACTTAAGAAGGGTTAATAAACCCAACTTAAAAAGAAAACAAAATAAAAATATAGCATCTAATACACGCCAGCCACATGGAGGCTATTCAATAAACTAGTTTCCTTACTCAACCCAATCCCAGGGAAGAATATAACTGAGGAAAAGTCAGAGCATTAAAATCTTTCTCAGGCTCTTCCCCTTCTGGTAAAGGTACCCTTGCCAGAAAATACTGAGAGCGAGGCGTTTTAGTCAGAAACTGTAAAGACTATTTTAAGTCTGGAAAGTCTGGTTAGGAAGGCTTGAGCTGTTCTAACACACACCCAGGGAGTGTACATCCCCAGGGAGTGGCAAACTGCTTCCTACAACTGCAGAGGGCTCTGTGGCATCAGAAGGACAGTGCTTTCTTATGTCCTACTGTCACCTCACTTTTTCTTGGCTGTCTTCACAGTGGCCAACTCAACTATCTGATAAGGTTTCTTGTTTAGTTTCAGCAACCTTGACACTTTCATATACATTCAGTCAAAAAACATTTTGGGGCACCACTGTGTACAAAGACTAGGGGTACAAGGATGAATAAAATCAATGCTTTAAAGGAACTCATACACTCCCTTAGCCAAGAGAATCAGACACATCATGATTAAATATTATCATGATTAATGTCACTTACAGAATAAAAATGTCTAAAGCATTATGAGAAGGAATAATTTTTTTAAATATTTTATTTTTTTATTTGAGAGAGAGAATGAGAGATAGAGAGCACGAGAGGGAAGAGGGTCAGAGGGAGAAGCAGACTCCCTGCTGAGCAGGGAGCCCGATGTGGGACTCGATCCTGGGACTCCAGGATCATGACCTGAGCTGAAGGCAGTCGCTTAACCAACTGAGCCACCCAGGCGCCCGACAAGGAATAATTTTTAAGTAGTATTTGAATAATCTTTAAATCTGGACACTCAAAAAAAATGACATTAAAACATAAGGTGTTAATGCACTAAGAATTTTACACAAAGAAAAAGTTATACAGAAATAAGAAAACTAGGAAATATATGTACTTCAAAAACAATTTTAAAATAGTTGATCTGGGGCACCTGGATGTGTCAGTTGGTTAGGTGTCTGAATCGATTTTGGCTCAGGTCATGATCTCAGGGTTGTGAGATCAAGCCCTGCATTGGGCTGGGTGCGGAGTCTGCTTGAGATTCTCTCTCCCTCTCCCTCTACCCCTCCCCCTGCCCCCTCTCTCCTTCCACCCCCAATAAATAAATAAATAAATAAATAAATAAAATCTTTAAAAAAAAGTAGTTGATCCAATTCTGGCTTTCTTAGAATATATACTAACAGAACCTTTCCAAGAGTCAACAGTTTATTATTTTGAACTTCCAGTAAAACACTTTCCAATTTTTCTCTGTATTTATTTGTAAGTCTTATAGAAAGTGAGGAAAATCTAAGTTTTGGGGTTGATGTTTAATTTGTCCTCAAAAAGCTAACAACCTTGTACATTGTCTGATCACTTTAGAAATGTATTAAAATTCTATCAACTTCCCCCACTCATCACTAAATTGAGAATGTGGTATTTTCATAAAGATTTCTGTTGCTTATTCTATCTCCTCATGTACTGGCTCTGTCACAAATGTTCTTATGGTCTATGTAGAAGGAAAAATAGACATTTACAGAACATCCACTATATGCTAAATCCCAAGCAGTAAATAGTGTTGTCCCTATTTTACATATACAGACATACATACATAGACATATGTATACGCACATGTGTGTACACACACAAGTACCACAAGGTTAAGCCAACACAGCTGAGGGTAGCACAGCAGTATTCTAACACACAGTTCTGAAGGTACATGATTCAAACATGTTCAATCCTGCTTGTGTGCTGTGAAATTACTATTTCTGGGTCGAGTTCAAAATAATAGTCAAATGATACATATCAACCCAGTACAAACTTAAATCTCTAAAATACAACTAGAATACTGGTCTAGATAGAACTAAAGCCTTAACTGGGACATGAATAATAAATGCTTGGGCTGTTATAAATGCAGTATAGTACCACCTCTGATTCTGCAGATCCAATGTTTAACAATTTCCTAATCACAAAGATGAAAAGACTAATGGGGCGCCTGGGTGGCTCAGTTGGTTAAGCGACCGCCTTCGGCTCAGGTCATGATCCTGGAGTCCCGGGATCGAGTCCCGCATCGGGCTCCCTGCTCAGCAGGGAGTCTGCTTCTCCCTCTGACCCTCCCCCCTCTCATGTACTCTCTCTCTCTCTCATTCTCACTCTCTCAAAATAAATAATAAATAAATCTTTAAAAAAAAAAAAGACAAGACTAATGAACTCTAAAATTCTGAAAAGGTAATAAAACTCTAAAATGGCATTTTTTCCTCCTAAAGCCATTAGCCGTTCTCTCCCTCCCCTTTCTCCTTCCCTCTTCCATATTTTGGATATAGCCACTGTCATGGGCTTCAGAACTTCTTACTCATTTAACCAGTCTTCAGTAACCCCCAGTTTTATGGCTGGAACAAGCTACAGTACATTACAATCAACAGGCAGCACATGAATTTGAAGTAGCCTCTTGCTTATCACCTGATGACTCAAGTATCAGGTTCTCTGTGTTTACAATTTCATTACATTTTTGAAAAGCAGAAAGCAAACCTACCATGATCAAAGAAGACTCTGGCAAGGATGATTCTGCTGGTGCAGAAGACACCAGAATTAGAGCCACGAGTGGTAAAAATATGACGCACTGATCTTTTTTGCTCTGTTGAGGAGATGGGAAGTGAAGCATCAAAGAGACTAAGAAAAGAATATCTGCTCAATAGAACTTTCTGAGATGATGTAAATGTTCTGTACCTGCACTGTCCAATACAATGGCCACTGGCCACATGTGGCTTTGAGAGCTTGAAATGTGGCTATATAACCGAGGGAATGAATTTATTTATTATCAAAGTTAAATTAAAATCGTCACATGTAGCTAATGGCTACTATATAAGGCAGCACAGCTCTGCGAAAACCAAAGAAGTCTAAATCTGTGGTTAGTCTTGGGATGATGAAATAGACATGGCAAAATGTGAGAAATACATTCGAAGCGTTTAGACACACAGCTTGGTTTAGGGCACTTAAAGACAAGTTGCAACAGTACTGAGCATTGAAAAGATTTAACACCATCTATAATTGAGCATTTACTAGAAGAGCAAACACCGCTTTTGAAGGTTTTGTGTTATATGTGAATGCCTCTTCCAGTAAGATCTTAAACTCTGAATTGGACTTGAATTAGATATATACAAGATTACCTTCAATCTTCAGCTGTATTATAAACTAAGTAGGAGGGTACCACAGTCTACATTTGCTATCAATTCTTCTGAATTTTTAAAAAAAATTACTACCGCTATTCCTTTTTTTACTACCTTAACTTCTACATATCACTCCTAAAGTAATTATCCAACATTTTGTCCAATATTATTCTTTCATATATAATGAAATGGGCTACAAAGTAGATACACAAATGTTAAGGGAGTGGAAGAAACAGAATGAAGAAAGACTAGGCCTATACTGCTTTCTTTTATGTTCATTTTGTTTGTAAACCTAACATTTTGGTTGAAGTTTGAAACTATACTATGTGTTTAATGCAAACTCCTTTTGTATGGTGTGCAGAAATCCTAAATTTGGGTAGAGCACATTACTACTACAATTACTACCCTGATCCTAAACTTATGTTTATCACTCATTACGAAGAAAAAACCCATTATTTAATTTTTAAAAGCTGCCTGTGGCATCAAATAATCTTCATAATCCCACACCATTTCCAGCAATGCTCACACTGATTTTTAAATAAGAGTTCTGAAAAGGCAAAAAGCAAAACAAAACTCTTATCTCAAGTCCATCCTTACATGACATAGAATTCTACCACACAGAATTTAGTTTTACCTTTTACACAAATAATTCATTTTTCTGAAACCTCCCTAAATCTCACAAGGTCAACCCTGAGTCTTAAAATTTTGGATATACAACATGTACTTTTGTATTAACAATGTACTTAACTTGGTCCTATGACTGAAAACATGTTTTTAAAAAAGATGCAATTGATCAAATACAAGATGGTAACATTAAAACAGAATTGCTGTTTGAAAGTGGTAGAATTATTCATGATGCTTCCTTTTTTCCCCCTAATGTTCTTTAATATTACTGCTTTCAATTTAAATGTTAAAGAATTATTGACTAGACTCTCTATTCCTTTATATTTATAACTAGCTAATGAAATTTACTACAAATTTAAGTTCACATCTTAGATTTCCGTAGAAATTTAAAAATATAATGCATTTTCTCAATTAATTCTAAATGACATACACAGTACCTTAATACTTATTAAGTGTGGTTAATTTGTATTTGGGAAAAGAATTAAAGCTAGAATCAGAAAAAACACTTTAAAAACTTTTTGTTACTGAAGTTACCTAAACATTTTCTTTAAAAATGTTTCATATTAAACAATCGTGCATATATGCATACACAACCCTTTATAAAAGGAATAATTTTATATGTATATTACTGGATGAATCTTTATTGGCTGAATCAGTTTACAGTCATCCTAAACTATTGAAAATACCTTTAATATTCTTCACTTACAGCACTCTGCTTTTTGTCCTCCCATTTTATGCATCAAACACAATACACCTTTAGGTTATTCTTAACTGCTGAAAGGCAAGCACACATTCCAGATGATACTGCAGAACATGCTTATATTGAGTCACAGGATTTGCTGCATAATATTCTAATAGAAGATATATGCAGTGGTTCTGAAGTAAACTATCAAAACATTTTCAATAAGAATACTTCAAGTTTTGCATTTATAAGCTCAAGGAAAAATATCAAAATGAATATTTTACAACCTCTACCAAAAAACACCCCATAACCTCTTTATCTTGCCACAAGCACAAAGCAGCTTACCATTCATAGCTGTGGGAAACTGAGCCATCATGGTCCTGAATTTTCCTTGCTAGCTCTCAGCCATCTGCAACATAAAAACATTGTGCCATTAATAATACAACAAGGGCAGATCACAGTTAGTGCACCAGCTTAGCAGTGGGAACGTCCCCTTGAGCTCACACTTCCAACAGAAAACAATGCAGAGCTTCTGCTGCTGCTGAGGAGGCAGGATTTACATTTACGGAAGGGTAGGAGACTTTGTTGGGTAATGGTGCTGCCTTTAAAACAGAAACATTTATAAGAAAAACAGTCCCATATTTCACAGCAAATACTGAATAATGAATCAATTTTGTAGAAATTAACTTGGGAGAGAGGAAGGCTGTTATAACTAGGTAAGATGTTATTTCAGAGAAATCAACTGTATAAATTAAGTGTATAATAACATGGAAATCCATAACATTTTCTTTAAAAAAATTGGCAAATGAGAAAAATATCCAAAATAAATGTGGTACAGAGTCCTACAGGTTTATAAAAATTGTCCAGAATTGTTATAATATATATGTTTGTTTAAATATAACTAAATGTGCTGGGCAAATACCCAGTACTAGGAAGAGAAGCGACTTTGGAAATTAACAGCTGTGATTTAAATCCCAGCTCTGCTATTTTCCTAGCTGTGACAATGGGAGAGTTATTTAACTCTTCTTGAGTCTCAGATTCCTCATCTGTAAAAATACTTTGCAGGAGTATATTTTTTAAGTATCAGACATATTCCAGTACACTGACACATTGTGATTGTTTGATAAATGGCTGCTATTTTGCAAACATCCAGGGAGGGAGAGTGCTATGTAATTCTGAACTCTGAATTCATTATTTTACTATGAATAAATTAAAAATTCATTCCACAAATCTTTTTTTTTTTAAAGATTTTATTTATTTATTTGAGAGAGAGAATGAAATAGAGAGAGCAAGAGAGGGGGGAGGGTCCGAGGGAGAAGCAGACTCACTGCTGAGCAGGGAGCCTGATGTGGGACTCGATCCCAGGACTCCAGGATCATGACCTGAGCCAAAGGCAGTCGCTTAACCAACTGAGCCACCCAGGCGCCCCTCATTCCACAAATCTTGAGGGTAAGACCAGTTAGGGAGAGAGAAGACCTAGGAAATTTATAATAATGTACTTAGTATTTAAAACCATGGATTATAACACTGCAGGGGAAAATCACTATATTAAAAAGATCATTCAGTAGCTCATCTATTTACCCCAATCACTTAAATAGTAACATTTTTAGAAGCCAAAGGAAATATGTTTGCACAAGCCATGTGAACAAAGAAGGCATAAAGAGTTACACATCACGGTGGAAAGTGTCCCCAGAGGAGCCGGCTAACCAGCTGCCAAGAAGTGTTACCAGGCACCGGATCTTAGTGAATTCAGTGTGCTCAAAGAGAAATATGACTGTATCAGTATAACCACCAAAAGTTAGTCACACCAACAAAAGACTGGTATATACATCCAATTTATTGATTTACAAAGAGAAATTTAATAGCCAAGAAAACTAACAGTACCTTTTCTTCCTATAAAGCAAACTATAACATTACTAAATTTCAACCAGATCACTGTGTAGTGAGGGAAGGGAGTTACCAGTGATTAGAACGCTTAATGACATCAGGCACTGACAGTCAGATACATTTATCTACACAACAAGAATAAGTCAAGGACTGCACAATAGGGATGGTTAAACCTCCAATAATGCTTTGAATGACACTGCCAATTTTACTCTTCTGACTCCCAGCTTTTCTGTATGCTACCACTATATACCATCTTCCTTCTTAAAGTATATGCCCTTTCTTTAGATGTTAATAAGCTTTAGTGTAGCTTCTGCACAGCAAAGAAAACCATCAACAAAACTAAAAAACAACCTATTGAATGGGAGAAGATATTTGTGAACGACATATCAGATAAAGGGTTAGTATCCAAAATATATAAAGAACATATAAAACTCAATGCCCCCAAAACAAATAATCCATTTAAAAAAGACAGACATTTCTCCAAGGGAAAAAAAAAAAAAAGGAAGACACAGAGATGGTCAACAGGCACATGAAAAGATGCTCAACATCATTAATCATCAGGGAAATGCAAATCAAAATCACAATGAGATATCACCTTATGCCTGTCAGAACAGCTAAAATCAAAAACACAAGAAACAACAAGCATTGCTGAGGATGTGGAGAAAAAGGAACCCTTGTGCACTACTAGTAGGAATGCGAACTGGTGTAGACGCTGTGGAAAACAGTATGGAGGTTCCTCAAAAAATTAAAAGTAGAATTATCATATGATCCAGTAATTCCACTACTGCGTATTTACCCAAAGAATATGAAAACACTAATTTGAAAAGATAGATGCACCCCTATGTTTACTGCAGCATTATTTACAATAGCCAAATTATAGAAGCAGCCCAACTGTCCACTGATAGATAATAAAGAAAATGTGGTATACATATAGAATGGAATATTACTCAGCCATAAAAAGGAATGAAATCTGGGGCACCTAGGTGGCTCAGTTGGTTAAGCCTCTGCCTTTGGCTCAGGTCATGATCTCAGGGTTCTGGGATCAAGCCCCGCATTTGGCTCTCTGCTCAGTAGCAAGTCTGCTTCTCCCTCTCCTTCCTCTGTAATCTCTCTCGTACTCTCCCTCTCAAATAAATAATAATAAAAAAAGAATGAAATCTTGCTATTTGCAACAACATGGATGGATCTAGAGGGTATAATGCTAAGTGAAATAAGTCAGAGAAAGACAAGTAACATAAAAAAAAGACAAACCAAAAAATAGACTCAACTATAGAGAACAAACTGATGACTACCAGAGGAAGGTGGTGGGGGGATGGGTGAACCAGGTGAAGGGGATTAAGAGTATACTTATTATGGTGAATCACTGCATTGTACACCTGAAGCTAATATAACACTGTGTTAACTATACTGGAATTTAAAAAAAAAAGCTTTATTGCAATGGAGCTTTAATTCTGTTACCACACTTAGACTTTACCTATCACTATACTCTTCCTAGGTAGGAGGAAATTCCACCTATGTACAAGTTATTTTTTCTTCACTCCTTTCTCAAAAGGTAATATAAACTTCAGGTATTGGAGTTGTCTACTACACAGAATAATATCTAAACACGGTGGGGTAGTCAAGAACTCACTTAACATGGGATTAAGAACACTGGATTTGAACCTGTAGCTCACAAGGAGTTTTAAGGGGAGGGATATAGATTTCACTTAAAACAATCAACGGTGAAGAAAAGACCAGAGCTGTACCAGGGAGATCAGTTAGGGAAGATATGAGAACAGTAACTGGCACCTGATCTAAAATAGTGGCAGACGGAACAGAGCAGACGGGATGAACTGGAAAAATAAGGAAGGGTTTAAAACAGAAACTCTTTAGATATGAAGAATTATGAAGTAAAAGGAATCTAAGCGATGACTCCCAGAATTTGTTTGTGAGACTGGGTGAACTGTGGTGTCACCAGTTTTAAGAAAAAGTGAACACAGAGGAAGTCTCATAAAGTTATGACTGATACTTCCTCGATACAGAAATTCTACAAAAAAGTATAACACTTTTACTTCCCCAATTTTAAATTGTCATCAGTAATGTTAAACCAAAATAAGTCAACATGCCTGCAAAGAAACTTTACTTACAGATACACAGTAGCAAGTAGCAATACCTCTTAGGTCTCTGAGACTAAGATAGTCTCAAAATGTAGGAGAAAAATCCTCTAAAAGTATTACATGCAACACACTGTATAACTGCATAAAAGCATATGAATTACCAAAGACAGGTTGAGGAGAAAGCATGCACTTACCAAAGATAAAGTATAAGATCCCACAGTCACAAAGCCTTAATCAGTTAGATGTAGGTCTAAAATTTAAAGATTATCTATCTAGGACTTCTGGTTAGTCATTACATATTCTATGAATACAACAGAATGCCACATAATAGATACTCAGTAATCATAGGTATAATTCTGAAATAAAACCAAAGAATGAATCAAATAAATATAATGGGAAGGGAGGGCAAACCCCTGCAGTAAAGCCAAAGGTACTAATATTACAGAACTTTCTTTACCTGGTACATGGGATTTAGCCCGCCATGCATGCAGGTACCATATTATTACATGGATGCATACATGTAACATCTGATTGACTGTGGTAACATCTCACTATGGTAGTGCAATTTGTTAGAACCAGTAAGCTTTTAAAGCACCCTATTTCATATCTGTTATGTTTATATCAATTCTCTCTGCCCTGTTGTCAAATAATTACCTCATGCTTAACAATTCTACTAATCTACTTCCAGAATAGTACTTGTACAAAGAAATAACAATTGAAATTTTGAAAAATCAGACATATTTTACACTTAAAAAATCAATTGTTTTACTTTATGTAATCATACTAGCTACCATTTAATACGTGCTTACTATTAATGCAATACACTTCTATTAATCAGCTACTATGTGTCATGCTCAATCCTGAGAATCTAATATGTTCCAGGTTGTGTACAAGGAACTTCAGAGGAGAAAGAGAGGAGCTTGAAGAACACGCTTCCAGGTGCCAGATACTGCTAGACACCTTTGATAACACTAATAATGTTCACAATTATCCCTGCAAGGCAGAGGATACTGTACTCATTTCACAGATGAAGAAACAGAAAGGCGAAATTACTTGCCAATATTCGCTGAGTGATGAAGCCAGGATGCAATCTCAAATCTAATTTTAAAGGCCAAGAAATTCCCATGGGCTTTGTATGCCTCTTCTTCTCTCAAATGGGGATAATAATTAATGATGAATAGGTCACAGCTTCCTGAAAGCAGCAGCTCTACTTAATGTTTCATTTGTAGGGGAGAAGGAAAACAAGGCAGAGATGTCTTCCAACATATAGGTCTATCACGTACATAAATTAGGGGACAGCTAATTATTTCTTTCCTCTTGGTATAACCCTCTCAGAGGAAGAAAAGGGTAATCAGCATCTCCCCAGTTACAGGCCTGATGCCTGTTTCAGGTGTGTGTGATTGGAGTCAGCACCCAACAAACACCTGT